GCACCATGAAAGGAGTTAATCTTGGTATAATGGTTGATCAGTCTCTTAAGCCACCCAAGCAGAGTGCTGTTGTTAGTGGTAGGGCAAATAGAATTTTAGGTTGTATCTACAGATATATTGAATGCAAGTCTAAAGAGGTTATAATTTCATCGAATAGGTCACTGGTTAGCCCACATTTGGAGTCTTGAACTCCTTACCTTAGGAAGGACATAGAATTATTGGAAAGGGTTCAGAGAAGGGTTACTAGAATGGTACCTGTGATGGAGGGGGTTGTCATATGAGGAGAGGTTGAAATCTCTCAAATTGTTTTCTGTTGAAAAAAGAAGAATTAGGGGGGATCTGATTGAGGTGTTTAAGTTTGGAATGGGTAGTGTTGATGCATCCTCTTTTTTTCATATGTAACAGTAAGAATAGTAGGACAAGGGGACAGTTATATTTTTCTAATAGGATGGTTGGCCTTTTGAATGGGTTGAGTTTAAGAGAAAGCTTGATAACTATATGAGTGATAAGGGCCAGTTTTAAGATTTTTTTTTTATAGTTTTAGTTTAGATTATAGGATGGGATAGTCAAGATGGAACAATAAGTCCCTTGTTGTCCCATAGCATTATGTTATGTTATTTTGTTCTTTCTGAGAAAAACAAATTAAAGGTTAAACATGTGTTCCTTTTTTGGTACATGTTGCCTTTCCTATTCTCTACAATATTCAAACCTCTTAGATACTGGAAAAACAAAACTACAGCCCCTGTGGACAGTTTGACAGGGGCTATCTACAGCCTTCATACTTTTTTCAAACACAAAGTACTGCTGTTAGAAGATAAATTTCTTTTATAATATATTATTAATTTTACAATCTATCTTTAATGAGACATCTAAGATACTTTCAGGATTTGAAATGCTAGAAACCAAACTTCTAAGTTTTTCTACCTCAAGGCTTCTTTGTAATTTTCAATTATTTTCTTCTTCTCTTCCTTTTCCTCCACCCAATATTGGCTTGGTGTAACAAAGTCTGATGGAACTCTACATTCCGGACAGGCTCTGTACAGGTATACATTATTAAGATTACCAATACAACATTATCAGTCTGACAGATTCCCAAAGCTAAGCTGACATACAGATAAATGCAAAAACTCTGATAAATCAAGTTGGACAAATAAATATATATAGTGATAAGTTGAATAAACCCTGATATGTCATGATTTGGGGTATGTGTGTATGGCAATAAGCATCTTGTAACTATTACAGTATGATTCACTGTAAGATTAAAAATAAGATATAAGATTAAAAATTCATTGCTATTACGTTTTACATGTGACCTACTTCCTTCATCACTTACTGACTTAGCTTGCTCACCTTGAAGAAAGCAGGCATTTTATTCCTGTGTGCTATAAGTGAGCATAGTCACTAACAAGCCCTAATGTTCTTGAACATTTTGGACATTACAAGTCACTTAGAAGCTTGAGCAAGCAACAACTATATCATTTTCAAAAAAAGGAAATATTCTCAAACTTACATTCATTTAGTATTACAACTACACAGCACGTGAATAGAATAAACCTAAAAATATAAATCTTTCTCACCTGTCTATGTGTATCAGTTTGAAGCTTCACATAAAATCTCATTATTTAATTTATATTGAAGTGTAAAAGACATTTTAATTCTAGTAATAAATAACCTTATAAAATTAAATTTATTTCCTTTGAATTTAACTTGGCATTAATTTTTTGCTTTTCATTAAAACATAAGCCTTAATTAGCTTTACAAAGCTTCAATTAGTTTAAATAATAAATTATATTCTACTGTATACGTTTGATATTATAGAGAGTACAGATTGTTGTTGAAATATTTATATTGTACATTAGAATTTATTATTTAAGCCAAATAAGCAAACTGTAACTGACAATGTAAAGACTATAAAAACAAACTGTAACTGACAATGTAAAGCTTCTTCAGGAGTGTTCCACTATAAAAAGGAACACTCCTGAAGAAGCTTTACATTGTCAGTTACAGTTTGTTTTTATAGTGGAACACTCCTGAAGAATCTTTAGAGTGAGATGTTAAGTGTACAATTAAATAAAGTATATTTAACATCATAAGATTGTTTATTACTAGAATTCATCTTATAACTCATCCTACAGATAAACCATGTCATTCTTGAAGATATGGTTATATTTCAGTCTAATTTACTACTTTTAGAGCATAATACAGCACCCAAGCACCAACCTCAACCTTAATTTTAACATAAGTGTATTTAACCAATTTTAGCTATTACTGTTTCTCAGCCTCAGCTGCCATGGTTTGATATAACTGCCTGTATCTCATAAATGAGGTCATATGCTATTCAACTAAAGATGTAATGAAAGCTCTCTTTCTATTCTCTTTAACCATATACATCAATATGGCTTCTAGTTTAGCAGCTGTGTAGAGATGTTGCTATAACAAAAGATATTTGTAAACAACTTCTACCACAATTAAAACTTTCAAAAACCTTGGTTGATTATATTATTTTTCACTTGAGTTATGATGTTGCAGTACAGTGAGACATAAATTTTGCATTTGAGTGCATCATGTTCAATTTTATCAAGAAAGCAGCTTTTTATTAGGCCATATTCACATTGGGCCTTATCTGTTTGATTGAGCAGAGAAAATAATCAAAAAGAAATGTAATATATATATACATACACACGAATTAATATAAGTTTAAAACTTTATATATATTAAATAACTCTTTACTTATCTTTACTGCATGCGAAAGATTACAAACATAGTGAAACTGAATACAGTTTTCTTGTCTTGAGACAAAATTTAGCTTTATAGACTAAAAAAATGTTCTTGGAAAGTGTTACAAAATGTAGGAAAGACAAAATAAGAATTTGTAACTGAAATCTAAAATAAATGTAAGTGCTTTTAATTCACAACTTTCACATCATCAAGCAAGCATTCTAACGTAGCAACCAACATGTACAAATTCACAACTTTCACAGCATCAAGCAGGCATTCTAACAAAGCAACCAACATGTACAAAGTTACAACTTTCACAGCATCAAGTAGGCATTCTGACATAGCAACCAACATGTACAAATTCACAACTTTCACAGCATCAAACAGGCATTCTGACATAGCACCCACGTTTTACTTTTATCCTGAGCTAACATGTGTTAATAAAACAAAAAAATAGTACCATATAAAAATCTTTACTTAATAGCTTTAAAAACTTCTCTAAAACAAAGAAACATGTTAAAAATTGAAACAATAAATATTAAAATATTTCTATGCTATTATTATGCTTAAATTCAATCTTCAGTATTAAAATCTCAAAAAAAAAGTTAGTTCATAATATTCAAACTACAAAAAGCCACATTGGCTAATGTTTTTTGTAGTTCAAATATTAGGAACTAACTTTTTTCTTGAGATTTTAATGCTGAAGATGAAATTTAAGGAAAATTCAAAACATCTGTATTGAAATATGTTTTTTGGTATTACCATGTTTTCTATATATATTATGCTTAAATTGAAATTTTTAACATATATCGCTGGTATCATATTGAATGCTGAAATACACAGCCAGGTTTAACAGCTATATATCTACTAATTTTGAATAAAACAATTTAACTCTCTCAACAAGAGCTCAGTCAATTTGATCAACCACATGACCTCTTTGTATTCATTTAAAGTCTTTACAGATTTAATACTTCTAACTTTCAGTACAGTGTGTATATCTTATCAAAATCTGGCAAACTTTCATTTAACATTATAAGTCTTTCACATACAAAAAAACATAATTTTTAGTAAAGTATTTTTAATAAACTAAAATAAAGATTTGTCCATGAATATATTGAGTATTTGTTTTGAATAGTCCGTGTGCAAAGTAATTTTCATGTTAAGATCAAAAATATGTTTCCTCATCTCAAAAATCTAAAATTTCCTTTGTGTAATCCCTAAAACTTCCTAAATACATCTCAAACGTTTTTTTTACAGTAAAACATTATATTTTATCTGTTACTTTCTCTAACCTATTTCTACATGGGATCGGTCAATTTGACTGATCTCATAACCACCAAAAAATAAATCTAAATTACCCTTTTTTTCTTTATAGAAAGACTTCAAATTATAACATGAAACTACATTCATTTATTCTAAGGTAGCTTTAAGCTTGTAACAGTATACATATATTTATGATTAAATTTTATTGTTTTTATTGCTCTTTGAACTGTGTCTAATTACTATCTGCACCATTATAAGTTGTAACTCACTCAGAGCACATGCAGCTCACATTAAGCTATTGAATTACATTACCCATGAGCTACTACAAGCTGCATGTGTGAGTGCCTCATGAAACATTTATATTATTTATTTTATCTAACATAAAAAGTTCCCTATTTTTACATTTTACTTACTTATACAAAAATAAATAAAGGATAAACAAGAAACAAAGTACTAAACCAATCTCCTTTTTTTCTTGCTGTCAATTGTTGATGACAGTTAACCCTACTTTTTTATATTAATGGTAGTAATGCACTAAATAATTTTTATTTAATTAAATAATGCAACACAGAACATAGACTAATAACATGCAAATCATAGTCAATTTCCCCTAACTCTCAAAAGTTTTCTGGCTTTCTAACTATGCAACAAGAGTCATTACAAATTTATCCAAGATAGTCATTAACTTTCCCATGGGAACAAAGCTTGTACTCTGAATGAAATTGATGCTTATTTGTTCAGAACACAAAGTTATACAATACATCATTTGGTACATGAAAACCCTGACTTTCTATTAAATGTAAGACAGAACTATTAACAAATCCTGAAAGAAAAGATGTGACAGGTGGGTGTGGCAGGAAGGGTCTGATTTTCTATTTAATAACTCTAGAACTAAACAAAATTGAAGGCTATAAAAATTACGGTTTGTCTGAGCAATGACGATTTTGTAGTGAATTATTTACATTTAATTTCATACTTTTTGAAGATGTGGTGGATAAAATAGAGAAGAGAAGATGCACAGAGAAAATGTGTCATGTGTGTTGCAATAGGAAAAACTCAGGATTTTTTTTTAAATATTGCCTTATAGAATTAAGAACTTAAAACTTATAAACTATTAAAATATGGATTATTAGCCAAGATTTTATGCTATACTAATTGGTATAACTTAAACAAAAAGTAGTTTAATAAAACTTTGAATATAAGACACTAAAACTTTGTATCATGTGCAGTAAAGGATACCCATAGCGAGAGGGTTAAAGACATTAACAGAAGGACTGCAGATATGATGACTGAATAATTTAATTCAATAATTTTAATGGAAGTGCATATATATATCAACTAAAAGAATGATGAAGTTCAGTTACTTTTCAATACTGATAATTTTTATTCTTAAATAACTAAACAATCTAGCATAATGAACAAGCAACTTAAGATTTCTATTTCCAGACCCACAACTGTGTTTCACGTCAAACAATAAGCATAGACCAATCATCCATTTGATCTTTTCTTCTCTAAGATCAAAACATTTATTAATGATTATTTCAGTAATATGCAGTTGAACAAAGCACACTAAATGTTGAATAACACGAAGTGTAACCTTATCATAAAATGTTTTAAATGTGTCAAAAGATTCATGTTTGGCTAATTAACAAATTTAAAACATACTTTCTCTGAAGAGCCAACTTAGAGAATGTCAATTAAAACACTAACCTGATAATTTTTGATGAGAATTGTTTGGTGCTCCTCCACTTACGAATGCAACTAAGACAGAAGACATGATTACATTTTTCTAAAATTCCAAACCGCCTTTCCTTTGGTGGCTGTTTATCCAGCACAGTCTCCATACATATCCCACAACATTTCCCAACACTCCGCTGAATAGCAAAAGAGATTTCCATGTCTCGTTCCAATTCCTTTAAACACTCCTGGTAAAATCATCATCTAATTTGAATTTTATAATTAAATGTAAAATGAGCATTAAATTAACAATGACAAACACGTATAAGGAAAATAAAAACAAAACCAAAGACAACAACAGATCAGCCAAGAGTGAACTTGAACAAGATTGATTGACTAATTAGAAAATGTGAGTTAGAAGATAAAAAACAATAAAACAACAGTGACCAAACTATCTTTAACTCCATTTATATTGAATAGTTATTTATGAAATGTGTGTTAGAAGATAAGAAACAATAAAACAACAGTGACCAAACTATCTTTAACTCCATTTATGCTGAATAGTTATTTATGAAATGTGTGTTAGAAGATACGAAACAATAAAACAACAGTGACCAAACTATATTTAACTCCATTTATACTAAATAGTTTTTATGAAACACGAGTTAGAAGATAAGAAACAACAATTACTTTCTTTAATAACATGAAAATTATATTGTTAAACTGTTTTGTTTTTCATTTCATGAAAGTTTTCAAAAAATTTAATCTACTTCATAGTTCTACATTCCATTAATATTATTTTATTTAAACAAATGCACAGGTGTGTCAAATGATTAGTAATGCTGGAGCGTTCTTACACAGAAAACATTCCAGATAAAACATAAAAGCTTATAGAGAACGTGAAAAAAACAAATGAACTTGTTTGCTAGAAGGATATACTTACATCTCGATGTTGATTTCTCTGTTTCTCATCTTGAGGATGTAAAATATCTCTACCACAGATATCACACACATCTCCATGTAAGTAGTCACAGTCAGCTCCAAATGAACATTCATAACCCAGATTGTATGGACACAAAAGACCATAAGAATTAGAAGGTAGTGTCGGTGAATGATGAACACCATCGTTTGATTTTACCTTATCCACACAAGACTGGATTAAGGCTGTAAAAACCACAATTAATACAAAACATTTCTGACATTTGGATGATGAATAAAAACTCAAAGTAAATAAACTGATGATTCCAAGTAACACACAGCAAAGGATATAAAGATGAAATATGAGGTGACCCACAAAGATCCTGAGGGAGGAATTATCCATGACAAAGTCAAGGAGTAAGCCATAAAGTCCTAGTATGCCACACTAAAAGTAAGAGTAGATGTAGTAAACATAAAAAACACAGAACTGTAGAAGAGAATGACAATTAAAAAACATGCTAAAACCCTAATTAACCTCTGCTGGCAAGCTTCCTACACAGCCAGACATGCTAAAGAGTCAAAGGAACATAAAGCGACACAGTATAGAAACAACAGCAGTAAGACCCATATGTAATAAAGACATCATAGCAGATACAAGATCCGGATTAAAATAATCAAAATAAGAATAATTAATAGTACAAAAAAGAGTGTTTCAAAACAAGACAAATCATAGGATACAGGGAAGAAAACTAATGATGGGTAAATGTAAAAACCAAGGAAAGATCTCAACCCCAAATCAAACATAGGGTCACAAACTTGAGAAGGAAAAATGATATTTCTAGGATCTTGTATTGGATCTTCAACAAAGTTATAAAAATTCTGATAGTAGTGAACATAGGTGCATCAAAAAGAATGCTGTAGTAAAAATAACAGACAGCAACACTATAAACAAGAAAATCTAAATTATGGCATGGAAGCATAAATTATGTAAATATCCTGAAATTTGCACAATAAATCATGTGGAAGGTTGGAGAATTGTGGATACTGATGATACTGATACTCTGCAATGTGTAAATGAAAATCAAAAATTTTTAGTTACATCTTTTGTTAACAACATGAGAGCAACTCAACAAAGAAAGGCTTTCAGTATTCAGAGGTAGGTCTACCTGATATCAAAACTCTGGCTAAAATCACAAACACTCAGGTTAAACAAAACCCGTGGTACTTATATGAAAGCTCAGAATAAACTGTTAACAAGAAAAACTCACCAGCAACAATCAAATCATTTCATCAGAGAAATATTTTAGTGTTATGGATGAAAAATGACAGAAATAAAAAACAAAACTACGATAGGATTCAATACAATAATGTAAAATGAATAACATTAAGAATAAGGAACCTTTATAGAGATAATATATCAAATAAAAATCCAACTACTTTGTCTATCATGTGAATAATAAAATGAAACCTATCATCTTGATCTATCATCTAAATATCTCTTAAGAAAGAATGACATAACAAAGGTTGCTATTTCCTTTTTGTTAGCAATGAAATTATTAGTCTTAACTAATGACTTAAATATGTACAGCGTGTGTATTTAATATTATTCCTCAAACTATAAACCAACTTCTGCCACCATTTCCATATAATAAAAAGAGGCCATTTCAAAAATGTTAAACATTAACTGCACCTTTACCATTTCATATTTTATTATTTAATGTTAATTTAAAATTTTAGTAACCTTCTGATGACCAGTATTTTCTACACACACATATACATATTCAAAATAAGAAAATTAATTATGAACTCATATATAAACAGACAGTATTGCACTAAATAAGTTTGTAATGTACAGAATTTTAGAAGCAAAATTAACAAAACTGAAGTTCAAGAAAGGTACGTCTCATCCATGTACAGGTGCATGTATGCTACAAAATCTCTGAAAGAACATTTACACAGATATTTAACCAGAAGACTTGAACATGAGTTTCATTGAATTGTGGAAATGTCAGATTTAGTACTGTGTGTATATTATGACATATTTTCACTTTAACAAACAGAAATGAATTGCTTACAGCAAGGTACAAACTCTGGGGCATTAACCCATTCTGATGAAACTGGCACAATAGATCCTTCCTCTCCTATCCCACTATCAGCAGATTGGCTTTGGTTCTTAAGTATAGTCATTCTACCTGGAAGACAAACACTCATTTCATAATTATGTTCTTCTAACATTAACTTTCAAACAACGTGGACAGAAAGGGATTTCTTCTTTACTTAATTTTTACTCCATTTTAGATATTAAATATGTGAAGGAGAAAGCATTATCAATAGGAAAAAAAATTTCTTGGTCTAGAGAATTCAGTATGAAAATCTTCTGAATGTTTAATGAAACGTGTTTCTATCCTAAAAATTAGTGAAGATTAAAATAAACAAACCCCCATATAAAATAGCTACTCATTAATTATTAGCACAACAATATGGGTAGACAGCTAGAAGCAGTTGAGTGGCAGGAGAGATGGATACTTAAATCAGTATTTCTTAATGCCATCTCAATTATACAACAGTAGATGTTTCTGAGATACAAGGCTTAATAAGTACTTTTATACAATCACTTTAATAAAGGCATCAATAAAACAGTTAAGCAAAGCAATTATAAAGCTTCTGTAGCCAGTGTAAGTTGTAATGGGATTGCCAGGACTTTGTACAACTCACTCAATAATGATTCTGAACTTGGAGAAAGATCAGAGTTAGAAGACTGTGATGCAGTCGTTACCAGCTGGTTATGTTTTATTCCCTGTGATAAACATGAAGGTTGTTGTCCAAGAACTCTGTCTGTCTGTCCACTAGTAGTCTGTGATTGGTTGAAAAGAAACCTGGTGGGATGAATGTGTTCATACCTGAAAACATTTCAAAAACCAAATAAACCCAAAATAATTTAACAATTTCTTACCCATTGACCAGCTATTGAATACATAAGTTTAATAAAAACCTGAAAACCAGTTTGCTACTTTTACATATTTTTTTAAATAATTTATGAGTAAGCATTTGCAGACTCAAGTGATGTCTAGTTGAACTCACATGCCAAGATTACTGTGGAAAGTACTTTACTTACTCCAGGGTTCAGAATATTACTTGCTGGTAATAGAGTGATAACTGTGATAAGTATCTAGTTACTCCAGTATTCAGACTAGTGATATTACTCCATAGTGTGATGCTGATAATAAAGTGATGACTGTGGAAAGTTAACATTTTCTTAAATCAAAAATGTATTTCCAATCATACTTACCTCTTACCACACTACAGCTATTACTTGACTGTTAGGGTTTCTTCCTTTGCACATCTAAACACTGGTCTGATGTTTTCTTGCTTGCTCCAGTCTTTTATTCTCCACTTAATTGCCCTTGGCAATACTTGTCTCCTGACATTCTCAACCTATGTCAATGCACCTTCTACCCTGATAACGTATATAAGAACCTCATTCAGATAATATTATCACTTTTTTCTAGACAAAGCATTCACTAATGGGTTTCTCAGTACTACCACTGTTGGAGATACTTTGAGCATTCTTCATGTTACCTAGTTGTTTCATGTAAAGAAAAAAAAAAAAAATTTGGCAAGCCGATATACGACATGAATTCCCAGGTTATTGTCTCCAGCATGGAGGCAAATCAGGTATCCCCTATCCAATCTCTGATATTTAGCATCGTTCAACAGTCTGGAGTATTTAACGCTGTCCATGAACTTATTCATTGTGAGATGCAGACATATATTCAGTCTCTTAATTGTCCTTGGTGATATTTGTCTTGTGATACTTTCCTCCTACATCAATGCACCCTCTATACTGGTACTGTATATGAGCACCACCTTCAGATAATATCACTTTTTCGAGACTGACACAATCCACAGTCAGTCTGTAACACAGGCTCTTAGTGTGGGAGGAAGTAAGTATAATTAAAAATAGATTTTTGATTTATGAAATTGTTAACTTCCAAAACATACTTACATCTGCTCACACAATAGCTAGAATCCTACATTGATAAGGTGGAGGGGTCAGTGAAAGCATTATTCATACAGAAAGTGTCTACATAGATCGTGGGCATACCAACAGAAGATTGGCATCCTAGTGGGTGAACCATGCTACATCCAGAACAGGTATGCTCTACATCCAGAACATAATTCATGCACTGTAAGTGGAATTTGACATGATCCATCATCATTATTGGCCAGGCCCCAACCAGATAGCCAAGGGTCCATTGCTTGGGGTTGGATTTATAGGGCCATGGTCCCTAAAAAATCTCACATTGGTGGCTAGAGAATTCGTACATAATATATATATATATATATATACTTGTGAGTGGATCCCAACCCGTAGCCATAGAGTGGTGCATTCCGAGCCACCAGAATCATGACGAGGAGGTAAGCAAACCTTGTCCTCAACCTGAAAAAGTCCAAAAGGCAACACCCCAAACTCGAAATGATGGGATCCTGTATGAAATATTAAACCTGATGAAACAGACCTCATCCAGTTCTAGAATTATGAACACTCATCCCTTGAATTATGGGGAGGACGTGGAACAAATTGTGCTTAATCAGAGGCCCAGGACAGAACCACTCTGCATTTGGAAGTACAAAGAGACATGAACAACGTACTAAACTAATATTGATCAAAAAGAAGGGCCACACTCAATCCAACCAGATAGCCGAGCATCAAATCTAAACCAGTATTACAAGTAGGTTCCCACATAGGCTGGTGCTTCTCCTACCCACTTTTGGGGGAAAAAAAAACATCCGAGGTCCAAGATAGGAGGGCCCCCGATCTAACCCTCTTATCCAAGAGGGAAAGAAATTCACTCGAACACTCTGGAGGAATAACCTCTGTCCACCATCCCGGTGATTGAAAAACAGGTGTGGTAAGGTTTCCCTAGCTCCACTAGTAGAATATATACGAGGGTAATGTGCATTGGGGAGTCCGGAGGAACAATGCTCTGGAAGCAGTGCAATAGGTAAACCAAGTTCCCTAATATTTAATAGCAAACCAACCCCCAATGATTGGCAGGGATGGGCAGAACCCTCTTATGCTTTACTCATGATAGATAGTTCATGAGTGGCAGTCCAGTATAGTACAATAATACCACCGGTCAGCCTCTAGGTGGTCTTATGGAACACCTCATTTCTACAGAGCCTGTTGCAACCTAGATAAAGTATACTGTGTGAGTAGTTGCTAGTGCAGAATTGGTTTGATAAAAGCACACATGCTTGGGCAACACTCACCACAGAGTGGGATCCTGTAAAAAAGAGATAAAGGACACTGAAAAGTAAAGAAGAGACAATATTAGCAATGAAGATACTAACACCTCCTTATAATCTAGCATATATGGTTAAGATAGCTACATGGTGTAGTCAAAAACTCTCAAAGGAAGATACTGCCAGATCATGCAAGTAATGTGAGATAAAAGTATTGGAGGAGGTCTACATGCCAGCCCACACTATGTCCTCCAGTGGGGAATTCAACTAGGCTACAAATGACATAGAAAATAGATAAATCTGATGAGATATGACTTGCAGAAGTTTCTTCACCTCCAAAGAGGGCCCAAAATAAACGACATGGACCAATTTTCTTACTCACCTTAACAAGGTAACCAGGAATAAATCCCAGGAATCTGAAGGATCCCAACAAATAAAAAGTTGTTGTGAAGCACCTTTAAATGCAACCTAACACTTCAAGGCCCTCACTGGACATAACAAACAACTGGGATCTGATTGGTCAAAAAGATGAGAATCAGCAAAAAGGATTTAGCTACTTCCCTGGCTGCTAGTATCATAGGTAAGAAGGACCTGTCTGGATACAGGATGTTGGTAGAATGATAAAGCATCCTGTGCACATGCAGCACAAACAACTCCGACTGATAATGTCTGCAGTTCAGCAGCAATAAAAACTAAACCATAAGGAAAAAGTGATACATGGTACATGAGGTTAAGGGCTCAAACAGATGTTGAGAAAGAGCATGTAATACCACCTTGATATCCCAGTTAGGTAGCTGAAACAGTCATTTGGAAAGAAGGACCCTAAATGACTTGAGGAGGCCAAAGGGCATTGGCGAATACGATAATTTTCCTCTCGCGTAACTGAAGGTAGTCAATAAGGCCACTTTATATAAGGAAATTGTGGAATTGTGTTCAACCTCCTCACAATACACCATTGTCAATAGGTGTGCCATTTCCACTGAGAAATGTCCATCGTGGGACTACACAAAGACTGAGACAGATACATGGCATCCTTAGAAGTTCCCTGATGCCATGTGAAGGACCACATAACCTCCATGCATGAAGTTTGAGCTTCAGAATGGCTGGGGGTATAATGTAAGATCATGGCTGCCATGACCGAGATGGCCAAAAAGGAAGTGGATGAGGTGGACACACCTGAAGGTACTGCAGAAGTATAAACCAGGGTTGAGCTGGCCAGTCCAGTGCTATCAACAGAACTCAACAAGGGGTTGAACAAATCATAGCTAGTACTCTGGGTACCATAAGAATCAGTGGGAAGGCACAGAGGTGCAATTGTGTCCAGTCCTGACAGAATGCATCTATTGCCACTGTCCGAGTGTGAGGTCCCAAATAACAAAATGCCAGTAGTTGAATGTTCCAATGAGTGGCATATGCATAGACCATCAGTGTCCCGAAATGAAAATAAATCCAATGGAAAACCTCGCAATGCAGCATCCATTCTGTTGGTAGAATCTGGTTGGGTTGAGACAATTGATCTTCCACCACGAATATGGCAAGCTAGTAGGATGATATGATGGGAGTGGACCCAATAAAAAAGATCCAAAGTGTGAAAACTCAATTTACCAACTGAAGAAAAGAATTAGGAGGCAGCTGATCCTAATTTGGCCTCCTCAGAAACCAACAGAATAAAGGAAGGTGCCGGAAAAAGCAAATCTAAGTTCTCTCCAGAATGTCCAGGATCGCCCACATGCACAGCCTCAGAGCCACCTGGAGAAACATCCCCAGACTAAATATATATCTCATCTCACAAAGAATAAGGTCATGTACAGCATCAACTAATAGTGACTCCACCCTCTGACAATGCTAGGTATCAGATGTGGGATAGGAGAGACCCGAGTTGCTTCCTTGCCGGAGACAATAATCTGGAAATTCATGTCGTATATTGGCTTGCCAAACAATTCTTTTTTTCAAGAAACAACTAGGTAACACAAAGAATGCCCAAAGTATCTCGAATGGTCATAGTACTGAGAAACCCATTACTGAATGCTTTTTCAACAAAAACCGATAATATTATCTGAATATTATCGGATAGAGGGCGCATTGACATGGGTAGAGAGTGTCATGAGACAGATATCCAAGGGCAATTAAGTGTGGAATAAAAGACTGGAGCAAGTGAGAAAAAATCAGACCAATGTTTATATGGGCAAAGGAAGGAAAGTATGTTTAGGAAGTATTTTAGTGACTCCAGTACTCAGACTATGATATTACCCCATGGTCTGATGCTGAAAATAAAGTGATGACTATGGAAATTATTTTACTGACTCCAGTATTCAGACAAGTGATATTACCCCAGAGTCTGATGCTAAAAATAAAAGTGATGACTATGGAAATTATTTTACTGACTCCAGTACTCAGACAAGTGATATTACACCCGAGTCTGATGATGGTAATAAAGTAATAACTGTGGCAAGTAATTTACTGACTCCAGTACTGAGATTAGTGATATTACCCTAGAATCAATCCAATCCAATCTAATAAAGACTCATAAATGGATCATATACTGAATGGGAGTCCTTACTGACTTAGCAGCCTGAGTAGCCAACCGATATTAGCAGACTCCCCACAGAGAGGAGAGGTCATACAAAATGATACCTTCACTTTATCAATGACTAATGCAGTATGATGTTTATAGTGTCATTATTGTTGGCAGCAGCATTTTAATGGCTTATTGTAGTTTCTATTCCAATCATTATTTGATAGTATAAAATACATCAAGTATGGCTGAAATATAACCACATACATTTTACCAAAAAAAAAAACAAATAATTAATTAAAAAAGATATAGAAAAAATACATGCCTACACTTTATAATTTTTATAAATCTGCCAAAAAAATTATATTAAACATCCATCAGTGAAAAAGAACATTTAATTTCAGTTTCTTTGTTTAAAACATAATTAAAAATTTCTGATAAAAAGGTGAATTTCTAATTAAAAAAAACATCTTTCTTACTTTTAGGAAACTCAACCAGACATCAACATTTATGACTTTGGTATTTAACTGACAAGGTAAAGTTTGGATTTGGTGTGAATCAACTTTTCCAGAACTTCATGTCAACATGATTAGTTGTGCTTCTTCAACATTAAAGTTTGATGTATCACAGGAAACAATAACAATAGTATTACCATATTTAGACAACAGCAACAGTATATAATAATAAAGAAGTTGATTTTAATCCTGGATAGAAGTTATCTGCAGAGAGAAATTTGATGTATACTTGACTATCTCTTGCAAGAATAAAACATTTCATTTAATGCTGTAATATCTATGAAGAAAAATTGTTTTTATCTCTAAATTTGTAAATCCTTCTTGTAGGATGAATATTCAAGCTCCACCAGCATATTGAGGAAGACTGAAAACTGTTAAAGCACTACTATCACTAATTAGTCAAACTAAGGATGATGAGCAACTGAGAATTTGTAAAAATTGAACAAATGTAAAACTGAACCAACTTTTGTGACACCAGTTCTCCTCAATTTGTAAACTGTTAACTTTCTATTTATAATCAAAAGATTATACAGAATTATATTTATTAACCCTTCCATTATGGACTGGGTGGAATTTTGCAGGTTGTTGGTAAACATTACAAGGTTTTCATACACAAAATATCAGGTTTTTAAATTAAGTATTAAGATTTTTTAATTAAAGAGTTTCTCATAAACCATTTTCTTTTAGAATGTTTACTATCGAACATGCAAAACAATTTTGATCTTGAGATTAAAAATACTTTAATGCATTAGAACATTTTCAAATTTCACATGTGAAAGCTTTATAATCTCCAGATAATTATGAAATTTTTTTAGAAAAAAACTTTATATTTTATTTGTTATTTTCACTATATTTTTTGTTTGGGTTGGTTTGATTTGACAAACTTTGTAACCATCAAAAAATTAGGAAAAAATATACATTATGTTTTTTTCGTTCTAGAATGACTACAAATTATAACATGAAAACACAAATGTTTAGTCTAAGTAGCTTAAATCTCAAACATTATACATTTATATATATTTATTATTTTTATTATATTGACCTTTTTGGCCATGCCTGACTAACAATATAGAAGTTACAATGATGCAGTGCATGTTCACTCGTGTTACCATATCCAATAATACATAACTGACCTTTAGTCTTTACAAAGTGACCTGTCTTGGCTGTGTTTTAGTAAACTAGTATTTTGTAAAATACAGTCACATTTCAATTATTATACATCATAAATTACTATATCGATACCCTAAAATTCCACTATAATTTATCATGTGTATTTGGGTCTAAAAAATATGAAATTGAGGTCACTAAAGACTTACCTTATTGTTTGAAATCTTGTGTGAAAATAATGAAATTAGCACAATAACAAGTCAAAATGGCCGAGAAAACCACTAAGGGGACATTCTTAGCTTTTGATTTGTTATTCATGTCATACATAAAAGTAAGTGTATATAAGGGACCATTTCCAAAAATGGAAAAAGGTGCGTGGGGGGCCACTGTGTTTGATTCAGTGATATCTTAGCAAATAGAAAAGACAAGATGTTCTTATTTTATATTCTGGCTTGTCAATATTGGCAGATTGAGTTCCTAATTTGTACGAAACTGTAGATTTTGTATTTTGCCATCACAAACATCTAATTTGAACCAGTGCTGCATTCAACATACCATGTGACACACAAAAATTGATGTTTAGCTGTGTTTTTTAATATTTACTTTAAATTAGGAAATTAGATAATGTATAATACTAAAATTTGAATTATAATCTACAATTTGATACCAAACTTATTGATATAAATTCACAAAATAGTAGCTGAATAAAATTTTGAATGCAAGTCAACAAACACAATGACATGACGTTTGACACGTGACCTGTCGCAAAAGGGTTAATGTCTGTCTTATATTGGGCTATTATATTTATGATTATGTATTTGACAGTTGAAATTATATTAATTCTGGTCTATATTCCTGGTTTACCTTCTTTCAGTTCTTAATAAGCACTAAGTAATATTGTAATGTTTTACACCACATTCATAGACATAAATTCAAAACTTCTGCCATTCACATAAATATTTTTACCTGCAAACACTATCAAAAACACAGCGTCCTTGAAGGTAGTACCTACAAATAGTGTCTGGTCTTCCTGATGATCTGTCATGAGAAAAAGGGCAATTGTTTCCCTCTCTGCAAGCCCCATTGGCAAAATAACTACAAATAAAAAATCAAAATAATAAATCCTTAATAAAATGTTAGCTTTATCTGAATCTCAATATTGACTCCTTACCAATGGTAAAAGAGTTTCTTTAGTTTTCCAAAGTGAGGCATATTTTAATGCATTATTATAGTAAATGTATAGCAGTAACCTGGAAAATAAATTTAAAATGAAGAGAATTTCATCTGTTAGTGGCTTTCTTGCTGAAGTTGATCAAAGTTTCACTGCTAGGCATGGCTGTAACAAACAGTATGATATGGATAGAACATACGTAAAACAAGTCTAAAAGGACAACATAAACGTACAATGAATATAATAAATTTATGATCAGCTTATCATTCTTATGAGACTTTGAATGGCCAATAGCTCACCACTTTAATATAAAACATAAGTAAAGAGAATAAAAGAAATAATATAAAAAATTAACAAGTCTCAACATTAAAAATGATTTTACTGTCCTCTGTTAAAAAGTACATTATTTCTGAGTTTATGCAATCAAATTAACTTCTTTATCTCAAAAGTTCCATAACTAAATGTATTCTAAAAAATTTTGATAAGCCTTTACTCGAATTAATTCACAATATATATCTATGGTATAGCACTTTTAAACAATACTTACACAATTATGTATTTGGGAAAAAAATAAAGTTGTATATAATAGTTCAAAAGAAATATCAAAGAGTAAACTTACACCCTTATGTATTTCTTTACTCAATGTCTAAAGCACAGAGTTGTTTTGTAAATTCATATACTTATAACTATCATTAATTGTTGATATATTTCTTTTAGTAAAGTACCAAATACAGGATTCACAACAGTTCTCACATGGGTTATGATTACCTCTGGACTACAGTCCACAATTTCTATAAACAAAACTCTAAACAAAAGCCAATCACCTGGTGGAGACATTAAAGTTTTATTAATAATAACACATAAGCCCTTATCTTTCTTCCAGACCAAATATTTGTCCAACTTACCAACTGATCCCAGTTATTCTGTAGTACCTCAACTCATCTAAAGAGGAAATCCAATATCCCAAACACTTTTGGAAAGTCCACTTCCTAAAAGCACTAGGGTAATTGGATTTGTTTTATAATGCAAATGTTTTCTATTGACCTTGCATGTCTTAGAATATCATGACTCAATGCATCTAGAAACCCATAAGAGTATACTTTACTAATTTACAAATTCTGCTCCTATCAATATCATAAATGTAAATAAGAAAAAGGCCAAAGCACTGACCCTTCAGGCACTCCACTTGTTACAAGAATCCAGTATGATAAACTCTTAATAACAACCTTTTTCCTCTTCTATCCAACCAATCTATAATCCAATTAACTTTTTACAATTCCTATTTATATGATTTTTTTAGCTAATTTTCTATGTGGCACCTGGTCAAAAGCAGTGCTCACTGTATCAGTCAACATTTGTAATTATTTTATTACTTTGGTGATTATTTCAAAATAATCTACGATAAAAAAAATGGAGATTATTTTGTGACAGAAGCTGTTTTTCACAAAATCTAGCCTGAATATTCAAATATGGTATCTTACTTATTTACAACTATTATTGCTGGTCTAATAATCAAATTGACTACTGTATATCTTTCAAAGACACATCATTACATTGCTGCAAATTTCACCCACCATACTTTAAAGTTTTATTAATATTACTTTCTTTAACTGACTTCCAATTATTGGTTTAATTGCGGTTTTACACTTCTATTTACAGAACTGTACTTAGCAATATTGTCATCATGGTTGATTGGTTAAACATGCTACTAATTACTCATTCAGCCAATACAATAATTCATAATATCAAACTAGCTGGTTAATACAAGTCTATATTTTATAAGAAAAGAATGTTTTATGATCAGGAAGTATGAACTGCTTGTTTTTTCACAAACAAATGGGGAAGTGATGAACTAAATTACAGTAAATGTCAGAAACATCTGTCAGATTACAGATACCTTCTTTATGTTACTAAAAACTTGTTTAGCAAACTGCTGAAATGGAACTGGCTCTTAAGGAGTTAAGACGGAGTTACAAATAAATCATGTTTCAAAAAAAAAAGAGTGTTATTATTTTATTTCAAACTCAAGTTAGAACTGGCTTTCATGTATTCAAAAGGAGAAGAATATATACATCACCTATCAATAAAATGCACTTTATTTTTAAGTTTTTAATTTGGTCAATAGAATTAATATAATTATATCACTTGCCAATTATAAAAAAAAAAAGAGAAATGAATTTAAAAACTAAAATGAACATAGTGTTGTTATATTTTCATTTAAAAAAATTAATTAACTATTTTGATGAATACTTTCTTTAGCTCTTGACTGATTGCCTCATTTTTTATTTTTATTTTTTAAATGCCTTCAACAACTAACATTTTTAATAGGGTGTAAACAAAATATTAAAAATAAGAAAGTGGAGTATCAACTTGACAAGACTAAAGAGAAGATACTGAATATTGTAACTCGACAAAAAAGAAGTTTCATAGCTGAGAAAGAAAAAAAAGATTGTATTTATTGCATTTAGCTCTATCTAAGGAAATTAATGAAGACTGGATGGAATGGGAAAGGAAGTCATGGATAAATACACAAAAAAATTGCTACATGTAACACTACGTTGGACAAAAAGTTAAAAAGTTTATCAATTCAGAAAAAAAGAAATGAATGAAGAACATTATAAACTAGATTCATACAATAGTTTTTAAATAACCCTAAAGCCATAAATAAATTTGATTTAATACTAAATGATAAACAGATTAGTGTTTTAAACAGAGGTTTAAATTTCTCATTTAGTCCAAATAAAGGTGTTAAAAAAGATATCATAACTGAAATTGAAACTAACTTGAAAAAATTAAATGATGAAAAAGCTCGTATTATTAGAAGTGAATCTTGCACTTTACTAAATAATTTTAAGTTCAAAAATAATAATAAAAGGACTTTGAAATTTTGAAAAATTTAAAGGAACAAGATGTTGTCATTTGCAAGGTTGATAAAGGGGGACAAACTGTTATTCTTAATAAAAATGATTACGATTCTAAAGTTGAAGACATTTTGCAACATTAAACTTAATCTTATAAATAAACTTCATACAATAGTTAAAGAAAAAATTAAGAGTTGTGTAACTCTAACACCTTATGAAAAGCATCGTTCAATTCCCAGTAACTTTATTTTACCTAGATTATATGCCTTGCCTAAAGTTCATAAGATTGGTAATAATTTCAGACCTCTTGTATCCAATATTAAGAGTTCAACTTATAATGTAGCAAAATTTATATCTACAAAATTCTCATTTTTAAGGGATAAAAATAAATACACAGTTAAGAATTCGTTTGACTTTGTGGAAAGAATTAAGCATATAATTTTAGATCAAAAAGATATTTTGGTGTCATTTGATGTAGTGTCAATGTTCACCAAAGTACCTGTGAAAAAAGCTATTGTAAGTTTTGAGAAAAAAAACTGAAAGAAAATAATAATTCAGTCTTAATTCTTAATAATTCAGTCTTATAATGGATATGGTTATCCTGGTAGAAGTATGTGTTTAAAACTCATTTTTTCAAATTAATAATAAAGTTTATAAACAGAATGAGGGTTTAGTTATGGGTTCTCCTTTATCTCCATTATTGTGTGATTTATTTATGGACAGTTTTGAAAGTGAAGCATTAGAAAAAACAGATAAAAAAACCCTGAAGTTTGGTTAAGGTATGTAGATGACACATTTTTGATTTGGCGGTATAGTAAAGATGAACTAGCTAATTACTTTAATAACATTGATAATTCTATAAGATTTAATTATGAAGTTGAGATCAATGGTTGTTTACTTTTTTTGGATGTTTTAGTGAGTAAAAATATGGGTAAATTCGAAAATACCATTTATCATAAAGATTTCTCTGTAATCATTCCACCACATCAACAATCTTGTCACACTACATCTAAAAAAACCTGTTTTTTTACTCTTATGTGGATAGGATACTAAAATTATGTTGTAAACAGGATTATATTAATAATGAGTTATTGTTAATTAAGCACATGGCAGTGGAAAGAGGTTTTAATCCAGATGTTGTTGACAGAGCTTTCATAAAACTGAAAAACAGGGATAAAAGTATTAAGTTAATACCATTTGCTGAAAAAGTAAGAAAGAATGTTTAGTACTATCATATATACCTGGTTTATCTTGTCAAATAATGAAAACATTTAAAAAACAAATAAATATTTTTCCAATATACAAACCGATAAACAAAGTTAGCCATATTCTTAATACAACTAAAGATAAAATTGAGTTAATGGAAAAATTTGGCACATATAAAATATTATGTGGATGTAAAAAAGTTTATATAGAACAAACTAGAAGAAATTTAAAATTCAGAATGAATGAACATAAAAGAAATGTTAAAAATAATAATATTACTATTTCACCTTTAGCAGAACATATTAGTGAAACAAATCACACAATTCAATGGGAAAAAAAATTTATTTTAGCACAACCTGGATATTTAATTGATATGAAAATATGTAAATCTGTTGAGATAATTAAATGTAAAAAAATTAAATTTAAATTATTGAATAAAGATGATGGACCTGATGGAAATGTTGTTAGTAGATGGCGTGAAATTCTTTAATATGTAAATTGGTGATTTGATAATTGTATAAATAAGAGTTATTTTGCAAAACATTTACACTCCTGAGGATGACACAGTAATATAGATCAAAACATGTAGAGTATATGAAATTGTTTTTCTGTCTCATCGGGTTTTTACCACTTTTTATCCTGTACACTTTTTATAGAATTGTGTATAAAATAACTGTTTTTTAAAAATTTTGAGTTTTTTTAACATTGATTGTCTCATGTTTGACTTGTGTGCCAAATTTTGCTAGAATAATATATTTTGCTGGCAATTTAAAAATGGCCAGGTTGGGCACTGAAAAACTGTTGAAAAACTAATTAGACCAAGCCTACACCTTTCCATCATCTAAACAAATAACATACTCAAAAAATATTTAACAGATTAGTGAGACATAATTTGTTTAGTGAATCCGTGACAGTTTTCTTTAATATAACCATATATCACTAAATGATTTTGCAAGGCTTCTTTTACCAGACTCTAGAAATCCTAAAGATGATGTCATACAGACACTGAAACATATGTAGTCTCTTCAGGGCAAGTCCCTGTTTTTCATAACTAGTACTAATACTCATAGTAGCAATCTAGTTAAACAGTAACACTCATAACAACATTAATGTAACATCAAAAGTTACTTAAGTATGTTACAACTGCATTTGATTTATCCAATGAATTTACACTTTCGTCAATTTTCAAAAACTTGATAGGTATATTTAAAGTTTAAGTAAATTTCATTTGTATGATTGTACATTTACTTAGAAACTTGAACTTACTTAATATTTTTGCTTCCTTCTTTAAGTTTTTATGAAAACATTTCGTATTTCATTATGTGATGGTAATAGCGTTAGAACTAACTTGTGTAAACTGTAAACAAATAAGAGAGTACGTAGTAATTTAGTGAGTACCTAGCCGGATATTTGGACAAGTGTTACTTACTGTTACTGTTAGACGAGAAGTAGGAAAACTAAAAGTAAAGTTTGAGTTAACTAATAGTAATACTATGTAATAGTATTAAAGTTAAACACTAAATTTACATAACTTATAATATTATATTACTAATAATACTGTAATTTGTAAATAAGTACTTACACTAAAGTTAAACTGGAATTTGAAACTGAAAGTTGAATTTTCACTTTCCGGCCTACTTCTGAACAGAATACTTTGTCTCATTGATACTTCATTATGTTATTTTACGATGTATACAAACTTCTTCCTTAGCCAGGATTGTTACAGATCATAAATTAAGCACATATAATTGAAAATATAATAAATAAGTATTATAGTCTCTTTCACTTACCGACACAAAATTCCTCCGGAACCACCTTCCGCCATAACAATTTTTAAAGTTTTTAGTGCCGTTTGCTAGGGGGCGGCATAAAATAGGTTAAATAACATGAAATATATAGTTAACCGCGCAGGTAACAGAGACACAGAAATTAATAAATAGGTTATAAAATCGCAAAGATTTCTGGGAGATGACGTTTCTAAATAAAGCTCTTCGTCAGATCGTAAATGCTTAGAATAAAAGCGCATGTTCGTTTGAAAATTTCATGGGCAGCATTTCGAACCTTAAGTTACAAAATTCTTTAAAATATACATCTGACGTATATAATATAAATTAATAAAATTTTAAAAGGACAAAAAGGAGCTTATTAGCCCATCAGTATGTCCCTTCCAGCTGCCACCTATCACCAGTCAATGAATCAAATGATCTAAATCTCC